TAAATAAAGTGTTGTGATACTTTACGCTTAAAAATGTTTACTAGAAGACCTTGCAGTCGAACATTGTTCTTTTTAAAACCACTTTTAGTGCGAAGTGTACATGATGAGTTTAACAGCTGCGAAAAACTCATCGCGCAACTTTATTTGAATATTTTGAACAGGAAAGCGGTAGTAATGGCCCTTTATGTCTCTTAAGTGCTGTTAAGTAAGTAAGTTTTGTTGATGTAATTAGTAACTGTTTACATATTTATTATTAATTTGTTTTGGTTTCGTAAAATATTTTGATTAAAAGAAAATATATAAAAGTGGGCAACGCTGTGCCGGTTAAGCTTAATCACGCGACTAAAAGTTTAATTGATATGAACTGTATATACACAGAACATATATTAGAAAATAAATATTCATATTCATAAATTATAAATTGAATGGCAAAAATTGAAAATAAAATTGAAATACGTCTTCGAAAATAGTATGGGTATTTCGCCACTGAAACAAAAATCTAAAGGGTGAAAAAAAACAATTTTTCGTAAACACAGCTGAGTCCAAACGGAGAACAGATATATTTTGTAAATACCAACACCCAAAATTAAAAAACAAACCAAACGGACATCGGTTTGGTAGTGGCGTTTCAGTTGCAAACAAATTTCCCTAACCAACAATAAATGTTAAAGTTTCAAAAGATATATGTTCCCCCTTCGTCAGAAGCAAATAACAAAAAAGGAAAGCTAATCAAAATATCTGAATGAAACTACTTAGAAAACACTATAGTCAATTAATTGTAAGTTTCTATTTTCCCTCAAAATTCCTTTTTATATTCCTTCTACTATAAAAATATAGGTTTAGAGAACAGGGTTAGCGGTAAAAGTGTGTAAAGTTTATAGTTTGTCCAGCCAGAGAATATAATTATTTACAAACATCATCGTACAACATCCAACAAGTGACAGAAAATAAATTATATTCATGTGAATTAAAATGACACACTACACTGTCACTGTAATATATTCTTTTGTGGGACACATTATTATAAAAAAAATATTATAGTTATATTAATGTTCATTATTACTAAAAAAAGATTTTTCTTTAAAGGAGGTGTAATTTACAGACTATACAGGGTGCTACAAATTCGAGGTACGAGCATTGGTATCTCGGTAACCGTAATAGATACGAAGATGGTTAAATTTGGGCAAAGTTGTCCTTTGGAATGTTCACCAAGATGCCATCAAAAAAGTTTTAAAAATGTCAAGGATTGCTGAGTTTTTTGGAAAAAAACGTATTTTTTGAAAATCAATTTTATTGATTTTGACTTGGGGAAAAACATTGAATAAGGAAAATCAAATAATGCAATAAAATAATTAAAACTAATATAAATATGATATAATATAAACAATCAAAGCATTTCCCCGGAAGATGGATTGGAAATGGTAGAGCAGTATAATGGCCAGCGAGGTTCCTGGACGCCAAGGGGCGGGGGGATATTACTTGACGTCACTTGTAAAAAGTAAAATTAATACATCTCAATATTTACAATAAAAAGTACAAATTCAAGGTTCCAACCCTCAACTGTAATCGATTTATTCAATATTAATTACCGCTGATAAATATTGTTGCGATGAATATAATCAGAATAAATAATTTAAAAAAACAGTCGAAGGGTCGGACTTGAAATTAGTGTTAAAAAAATAAATTGTGTTTAAATGTCCGAAAAAAAAAATTAAGTGTGGCACATCATTGTACTCAGGAGACTGAGTTCTTTCAAAACCTGAAATAAAAATACAGGTCCGTATTTTAAAAAAAAATAAGTTGGCCTCTGTATCTCACAAATTTTCAGCTAATTTTAAAATCAGATCAATAGTAACTATCAGGTAGCCTTCATAAAGTGGCTATAAAAATGTGTAATTAGTTTTTGGATTTTCTAAAAATTAACGACAGGAAAAAATAAAATTGATTTTCCAAAAAATTCGTTTTTCCAGAAAACTCAGTTATCCTTGAAGATTTTGAAACTTTTTTGATGGCATCTTGGTGAACATCCCAAAGCGCAACTTTGCCCGAATTTAACCATGTTCATATCTATTACGGTTACCGAGATGCCAATACTCGTCCCACGAATTTGTAGCACCCTGTATAAGTTGTTCAGCATTCATAAAATTTGTTTCAAAATTAGTTGTTTACTAATTAGTTGAACTTTTCCTGGCGTACAACCCTGATGTTCAATCAATGAATGTTTGCTTCTAATACTATTTTCACTTATTTCTTGCTTTTACTGCAACCAACTTCTTTTTAACTGTTATCTCAAGGATATCAAAGTAATGAAGGAGAAAATCCTAAAATGGAGGAGATAAACTTGTTAGTAAAATTTATGGAAACTCTAAATTTTTAAATCTTTTTGGATGGCATCTTGATGAACATCCCAAAACGGCAACTTTGCCCCAATTTAACCATATTCGTATCTATTACGGTTACCGATTACGTATTACAGATACCAATGCTTGTACCTCGAATTTGTAGCACCCTGTATATAGCCATGGAAACCAGTATCACCCAGCTTGATTTTCAAGCTGGGTAAGGAGAACCAGAATACGGAGATCAAACGCAAAATCCATTTGGCATGGCTCATTTGGAAATATGAGCAATATTTTCAAGGATAAAAAGGTGCCATCAACCTAAAGAAAAAGGCTTACGACAGCTACATTCTATCTGTGCTTACGTATGGCTTATAGACTATGGCAATTACCCGAAAAACAGCAGAACAACTACGAGTAGCACAAAGAGCCATGGAAAGAATCATGTTGGGAGTCACCATTAGGGAAAAAATACGGTTACCTAACCTAACCTAACCTAACACCCACATACGTCAAAAAACAAGATTAATAGATGTTGTTAAAAGAGACGCAAGTCTGAAGTGGCAATGGATAGGACATGTGGCAAGACAGGATCCAGACCGATGGCCCCAAAAAGTCATCCTATGGAGACCTAGGGGAACAGCAAGAAGTGTGGGCCGACCAAAAAAGAGATGGGTCGATGACATCAGGGCAGTGGCGGGAAGACAATGGATAAGATTGGCTAGAGATCGCGAAGCATGGAAAAACCTAGAAAAGGCCTATATCCAACACTGGATGGAACCAGGCTGAGAAAGAAGAAGAAGAGGAACCAGTATCACCAAAATATTCCTTTGAATAATTTAATCGTCACGTCCTAAATTTTTGTAAATAAAATCTCAAATTCATACTCACTGTTCATTCGCGCCGTTTGGATGAGGTTAAATACTCGTATATTATGCTATTTACTGTTTAGGCTTATTTTTATTACGTTTATTTATTACGGTATACGTTTATTTAATACATAAAAATATTATCTAATAAAGGGTTTTGTTATCTTTATTATATTTCTTTGATTTTATTGTGTTATTTAAATACTTAACAATTCTTACTTATTCTTTATACGATTTATCACTTTTTATTTATTTTTATACTACTTATTCCTCTATAACAATCGTCACAAAATTTTAATTTTTGAAATCAAAAATCCATTAAATATTTGGCGAAAATTTAAATCTATTAATAATAATTGTTATAATTAAGTACCTATTTTAAAATTATAAATTTCAATGATAGTTAATAATTCGTAATAGCATTAATCTCTCACTTACAGTTTGTTCAAAATATTTTATACGTAAGCAATAAAGTTCTAATGTAAAAATTATTGATCCTTAATAAAAAAAAATGCTGCGTCAGAAAGCTGCTAATAAATTTGTCAAAAATTCAGTACATACGTTGTATGGAAACCAATGGCGATATCTAAGTGCTAAGAGTAAGTTATCTATTTCTGAAAATACGTCAGAAAGTTATTCAAAAAAGTAGAAAGCATCTCTAAAAAATATACTTAACGAACTTTTTTCTGAAAACTCAGAGCGTAGAGCTTTAAAAAGTAAAGATTAATATGTAAGAGGCAAATCATGAATTCATCAGAAAGAAATGTAGAAGTGTTATTAGATAATTATTTTTATATATTTTATAATTATTGTATATCAGTCAAAAACTAAATGGATTAATAATAAAGCTAAAATAGTTTAATTTTGGTGCTCGTTGAAAAAAGTTTAATAAGTTTTCTATAGTTTATTAACAATTTTAACAAGTATTTACTTATTCATATCAAATACAGGAGCATTTTTGAATTTAATAAAAATAGGTAAATTAAGGGTAAGAGAAAAAACTGACGAAGTCACAAAAACGACTTACTGAGGAAACGATGATTTAATATTGCCAAATACCAATGTTAAAGATATAAGAGTTTGTTACTCTATGCATTATTATTTGGACATCGTTTGTTATATTCAATTACAATTTAACATGTGTTTGGGACTTGATATTCTCAACATTCTGAACAAATTAAGATGATTAGCCAAAAATTTCATTAAATGGACATCGTCGTTTTTTTCTTATTACCCATCAAATTACCTCTAATTTTAGTTCAACAATAAAGTAGTACAATGTTTGGTATTTTCTAAAAGTAAAATGTCCAGGTAAAAAACAAAATTTTGAAATTCTAATAGTTATTGTATTTTCCATATTTAATTTTTTTTTTTCATATTTAAGATATTTATGATTTTTTTTAGTTTTAGTTAAAAAGCATAATTTATTGATAGTATGGCAACATAGGTGGTAGATTATATTTACAAGAAAGAAAATCCAAAAAAGATCGAGTAGTTCTCAAAAATTAAACGAAAAATATTATTTTTGGAAATTTTTAAAGTATAAATAAATATTACTGGATTATTTTGGACTTATTTGAAAAACATTAAAGAGAAACTATATGTTTCTGTTATTCTTTTTTTATTTCTACAGCTTCTGTGAATACCAAACAAAATAAATTTTGACTAGTTTTTTGGAGGATTGTCCACATACCGAGAATTGTATAAACCATAAAAAATTCTGAAAAACTTAAAATCATCCTTTTTGTAATATAAAGCTAAATATCTTCAACGCACTGTACTGTTAACTAACCTGCCAGAATTTAGCTTCTCCCACAACGATCCTTCTTCATTTCTTCCCAACGAATCGTCCCTTTCATCTGAACCTTTAATTCTCGAAATATCTCCGTCATCTGGGTCGCCCTTCACTGCACTTAAGTTATTCAATAAACCGATAACGATCAACACTATTAAATAATTCATTATTTATGAGGCGCTAAGGTCACAACCGAGCTATCACCACCGAAAAAAGTGTAAAGGAAGAATTATTTAATTTTCAAAATATTTTGCTCGCCGATGACATTAAGATAGTGTAATGATTTCGTGAGCGGCAAGAGATGGCGAAGAAGTAAAGAAAGTTAAGTTTCTCGGTGAAATGAATCCGAACAAAACGAAGATCGTGAGTTTAAATGTGTAACGCTCTCTCCCTTCCTAGCTGGTCCGAATCCAATTTGGCTTGCGGTCTTCTTTTCAAGTCAACTGCGACGACATTAGCAATGAACTTGTAGTTTTTCTTTTGCCGGGTGTTAAAATTGCATATTTTGAGCATATTCGGTATACCCTTGCTGTACACGAAAAAAGAAATAGTTTGGACAAACTGCAGCAAACATAATCAGTTTGTTTTTTTTTCTCGCAGGGGAAGTTTTTCCATCGGCAAAAAAATAAACCACAAAGATAATTATTTATAATTCCGAAATTCTTTTAATATCAATATGGTTATTATGACGATATGTTTTTACATTTCATTCAGCTGATGGCTCACCTTCTAGTAGGTTATTTTTAGCCGACCATACCAACAGGTATATTAGGCTTTTAAGATCGGCAAAAAAAAAGTTTTTTTAATTTCACTCAAAATGAGTTATTTGGGTCATAAATGACCTGAATACAAAATATTTCATGGTGTCTGTCTGCCTGTCTGTCTGTCCCTCTGTCCGTCTATCCGTCTGTCTGTAACACTATAACTCAAAAACCGCTGAACCGATTTTAAGCAAATTTGGCATAAAAATACTGTGGCATCCCAGAATCTGGGCATTAGCTTTTGGTAGGGTTGGGGGGCCGGTAAGGGGGTATGAGAGGGGGTTAAAAATTTAAAAAAATCGTAACTCCAAAATTACAGTAGCTAGCGAAAGGCGGTTTTCAATTTAAGATTAGGAATAATATTTGCTACAAAATTTGTAATAACATCAAAATCAGTCAAAGTCGCAGTTTTTGAGATAAAAAAAATTGGAAAAATGCCTTTACTTTGAAACTAAAAGAACTGTCTTCCAACTTTTTATTAACATATTTTAGCATGGACGGGGCATTTTTATTAACATATTTAGCAGAGATTAGCATTTATTAACATATTTTGCACATACGTGCTTCCCGACGCCAATTTTTTAACTTAATATATTATAGGAATTATATTAATTTACACTCACCGGCAACGCCCTAACTCAAAATTGGCATTTTAAAATGATGTATTTTACAGTTTAATATATTTTTTTCTAGTGGACCGATTTTGATTAATTTTTAAGCAGTATTTTGCTAAATTATTTGACTTTTTAGTATATCCTTCTAAATTAAACGAAGGTAAAACTAAGACTAAAAAAAATGTTAATATTTTGGTGAAAGTTTGAAACACCCTATGGAATATATAAGACATCAAGGAATTTAAAAACCATTTTATCAGTTAGGTAAATTCTTCGTAGAAGTTTCTGAGGGCCTACGACCAAGAAAAATCAAAGATCTTCCTGGATTTAAGTAGGAACAATCTTCGGATTGTCACGGGGTTTTTAACAGGACACTGTCTCCTCAATGAACATCTCAGTAGATTGAAACTAAGAAGAAACGGCGAATGCAGATTCTGTGGGGAAAATGGGGGAAAAACCAGAACACCTCATAACTGAGTGCGCCCAGACGACAACCATTCGTATCATGATCTTTGGTACGACTTATATTGGAGATGGAGAACTACCCTCTGTGAAACCGTCCCAGATACTGGCTTTTGTCAAAGCCATGGGACTGTATGATGAGTTATAACTCAAGAAAGGGGGGCACGATAGATCTGTAAGATCGTAGTGATTAACCCCCCCCCCCCCCCCCTCCCACTCATTCTAAATTCTAAAATTCTAGGTAAATTCTTTCGCGATGGTTTGTTTTATGGTTTACCTCAATAGCTTTATTTTTATTGGATATATTCGCTTTTGATGAAGACACTAAGATTTTTTCGTAATTTTTACAGTAAAAGTATGCCTTCGCTTTTTGTCCTAGGCAACAGAACTAGTAAGTTGTGGTCCCGAAGCAGGCCTTCTTGATAAAAGATTTGCTTCGTTTAATGTTTTTTTTCTTAGGTGCAATTTATTACAAACTTGAAAAACTCTCAAATAGCGCCGACGCAGTGGATCGACCAAATGAAATTTGCTGGACATTCAGCAATTATGCAAAATGTCTAACTTCAGACATTTTTTTTAATAAATGTGTTCTAAAATTTTCGAATTTGTAAGAAGAATACCTGAAGGAAGGAAGATATGGCAGATTAAGGGAATGGTTAAAATAATTACATTTTTCATACAAAATCAGCAATTTAAAAAACTTATTTACATTCAAAACTAATTCACAAATTTCAAATAATCGTATTTTTAAAACGATACTCTTTTATTTGCCAGCATTCAATAATACAGCGACCGCGACATTAACAATGATATTGAAAATTTCCTTTTATTCGGTCACGGTACAACGCCTTACAGTTATGGATTATTTCTTTTAGAAAGTAAATATAGATGGATAAACGATATAGGTATTGTTGTGTAAGTTACAGATCAATAAATCCTAGAAACTACCGTTACTAGTTACTAGTGCTTTATATGACTTAATTCAATTTTAAAATCTTGTAACGTTTACGTTAAGTATTAATATATTCCTAATAACATAATATATTTTGGTATACGTCGATATATTGAGATATAGATTTGAAAGCCATTCGAAAATAGTAACTATGTTACTATTTTAAGTTTTTTTTTTAATTTTAGTAAAAAGTACACTATGTTACTATATTATTACTCCAAAAATAATGCAGTGTTTATTAGAAATTCCGTCTCATGCAGATAGCAATTTAGGCAAGAAGCTTCTACGTCCCACTAGACAAGTCGCATACCCAACAACGTTGCCGTTTGCTGTCACCTTATTTTATGAACGGTTTTAAGAACGGCGGAAAATAAAGCCTAGATATCTCAAGGCCTAGATAGCTATAGGCCAAATTTGCAAGAGCAGCTGTGGATCCATTGGTAAGGCCTTGTAAGGATTATAAGATATCCCTTGATAAGGAATGAGAGATCTCAGGATCGTGTCCGAACCCAAACCAAACTTTTTATTTTTAGCCGACCATACCAATAGGTATGGTAGGCTATTAAGATCGGTAAAAAAAAATTAATTTCACTCAAAATGAGTTATTTGGGTCACAAATGACCTAAATACAAAATATTTTAATGGTGTCTGTCCGTCTGTCTGTAACACGATAACTCAAAAAACCGCTAAACCGATTTTAACCAAATTTGGCACAAAAATACTGTGACACTTTAGAATCTAGCCATTAGTTTTTGGTGGGGGTGGGGGGTTGGTAAGGGGGTATCGGAGGGGGTTAAAATTTTTAAAAAATCGTAACTCCAAAATTACAGTAGCTATCGAAACGCGGTTTTCAATTTAAAATTAGGAATAATATTTGCAACAAAATTTGTAATAACATCAAAAGTCGCAGTTTTTGAAATAAAAAAAAATGCCTTTACTTTTAAATTAAAAGAACTGCCTACCAACTTTTTATTAACATATTTTAATATGGGCGGCTATACGTGCCTCCCGGCTCCAATTTTTTTTATTTATTTACAGTTGTCGGCAATAGCAATGAAAATAAGCCGTAGGCGTGTTTTAATTGCGTTGGTTAGTCTTTGGGGTAAGTCTTTTTTTGTTAAGATTACACGCGAAATACCCGACCAGTATCGCTTATGCACGTGCAGAACTGCAAATTTAAGGGACAACAAGCGGCAACATTGTTGGGTATGCGAGTTGACTCGTGGGATGTAGAAGCTAGTATTTAGGCGTTATAGAAAAGCTTATTCAGGTAAGCTCATCAATGCTCAGACAGTCAGGCGCCACTTTGGGTGCTTATGGGCCCAAAAGTATCGTCGAGTCTCGTCTGGGAATGCCTAGGTGAACTGGGAGCTCTGGCACAAAGGAACATAATTAAATTATCCTAGCCCGGCACGGCCACAGGCAACGAAAAAGCCAATAAGCTAGGCAAAGATTATCGGCATCCTATGTCCAGTGCCAGTACTGGAAATACCCAAATGTATGGCCCGTAGTGCACTAAAACTCTGAATCAGTGAAAAGCAGAAGATCCACTGGAGAAACAGACAGGGGCACAGGCACTGCAAGGCCTTTATCAAAGGACCTAGCTTTAAAACAGCAAAAGAACTGCTAATGCTAAGCGGGAATAAAGTGCGGATTACGACATGCCTCATAGGACAGGACACATAGCTGTCAAGTGTTCTGAACAAGCTCAACCTGTATCAAGGAAGTCTTTGCTGCAAATTCTGCGATAAAGATCCTGAAACAGCGAGCACATAATATGTCACTGCGAGGCTCTGGATCGCAAACGACACTTTTTATTTGGAAAAGCTAGGCTAGAACTGGAGGAACTATACTCCCGTTCTATCAAGGACCTGCACAAGTTAGTGCAGGGCACAGGGATAGGAGAACGGATGCAGATATAGAAAGGGGACAAACACAATAGGCCTCACAGGTCGCAGTGTTTTCGGATGAGGTCGGCCCTTTGTTATTAGAAATAAAATCTCCGATATCAGTCATACCAATTTCATGGCACGAATGGTTGTCGTATCAGCGCATTCAGTGATGAGGTGTTCTGGTGTTTCCATATTCTCCCCACAGAATTCGCCTTTTTTTTAGATGACTGATCCAAGGCAGATGAGACTGATCCACAAGCAGACATAAATTAACTCATTATTAGTTTCATACCGAGGGGCACAATGAATGTAAAATCAATTTCATCTTAAATTTTGATTATTTACGTTTTTTTGTAACCTACATATGAGTAAAAGGCAAAATAAAATTAACTTACTTTTAGAGGATGTTCGATTTTCTATTCCCTTTTTATTGTTGCATTATTTTTCAACTGTAAACAAGGAAGTGTTTATAGACGTAACGTATTTAATAGTGCCGTCCTATTATGTAAACTTTGAAACAACTTACGCTAACAATAAATGTATCCTTGGCGGTATCTAAAGCATTATCGAAAGCGTTCCCATTATTATTATAAGATGTATATATCTCGATCTTGACAAGAGATAGATGGACCTGATTTACGATCGCAATTAAACATTCCAAGGCATAGG